TAGAATGTTCATTAGAATAAATGTGCTTTTATTTTAATCAATGCAACAGTCATGGGTTATATGTTTAACTTTACTTATCGCTTCAGCTGTGCTGACTGACTTTAAGTTGCAAAACCTTAACATTTCCACATCAGTGTTCCAGTTTTATTATTCATGTTCGTCGCTGCTCTATTGTTGTCTGTTTTATCACGTAAGAGTATCTTTTTGTATACATTTTTCATTGCAGTTAATTTGACTGCTGCGATGCAACAGGTTCGCGCTTGTTTCATTCAATTTTGTTTAAGTAAATTTTTTGTTTTTCATTTCCGGCGACCGGTTGCTGCAAGGAGAAAAACTTATAACTTAAAAACTCACAATACATTACAGATACATTCCTTTATAAATACTATTCTTGCTGTCAAGTTAACATTGCCAGCATTTATGTTGCTGACTTTCTTTCATTTTACGCTCGCTTTATAATTTATGACGAAGTCAAGACAATAACCACAAAAAAACCCAAACAACAATAAAGCCCAAGTGCAATAGTTATCAGTACAAATACTTATATAAGTGCAACAGCAACAGCAACAGCAACAGCAACAGCAGCAGCAACAGCAGCGGCAGCAGTAATTGCGGGGATTGCTACTGCCAGGATAGGCCGCCCTGCAGGCAGCTCAACAATTGTTTATGCGCAGAGTTCCAAACTTATTTCATTTCATTTCGTCTTCAAGCAAAGTAAAATTACCTTTTACGCTTTATTACCGTTCAAGTAAAATGAGTGCAAAATAATAATAATAAATTAAAAACTGAAAATATAATAAAAAGTAAAATGAAATATATAACTTAAAGCGCATAAGTTTTAACAATGTTACCGCGTTGCTGGTGCGCCACTTCCTTTGTTTGCTCACGGCCCTGCTTACCAGACTCGATTGTGCTATGAGAACTCAAGCAGTACTTCCGCCTCCGGACGGAAGCGAAGGCTATCATTTCAATTGTAACTTTCCGCGACACTGTATATTGTCCAAACTAACTTTGCAATTGAGGAAAAAAGCAGCAGCTCGTGCTGTACTCGTAGCTATACTCGGTGCCAGTGTCTTATTGAAGGAGTCTGTGGAGTATTGTGAGGAAGTTGCATACTGGTAGCGCTCATGTTGCCACCACCGCTCACAATATGCTAAATTTAGTGTCGGTCTTTTATTTAAGAAATTGTTGCATTGCCACAGCTACGACACAGCTATTGTGTCGTAACGACAACCGGCAGCAGCCAGCTAAATTCCTCATACTCTTGTACTCATACTCTTAGTTATGGAGTTACTGCAGCAGTGACAAGAATTCCAGGAAGTTCGCTGCAATTCTTTGTCTTAGCCAGTGAACAAGTTTACTTCTTCATGTATGCTGGGAGATAATTTAACAAGTTTCTTTTTATATATTCTAATCTTTGTCATTAACTTAGCAGCTGAATTGGTTGTGTTGTGGAAGAGTTAGTTTTTACTTAAGTAAAAAGGGAGTTAAGTGCATAAAGTGTGTAGATGTTAAATGAGCATCTCTTAGACTGATATATTGCAAAATGAATAATAAGCCCTTAATAATAATTTTGCATAGTTGGTTTTACGTCATTATGACAAAAAGACTGTTTAATGCAGCTGCGACAAGTCAGATGATGCATTCTGTATAAATTTGTCAAAATATGTTCCAAAGTATTTATAAAATCACTTTAAACAATTGAAAATTTCGTAATATTTTTGAAGAATTAGATGCTCTGGACTTAAGCCTTTCGTTCAACAAACCCATATTTTAGCAATCTGAAATATTTTAATATCCTCAAGTTAAATTTATAATTTTTCTTTAATTTAAATGTAAACACTTTGAAGTTATAACCTAATAATACTGAATACAAATTTTTAAATTTTTAAACTTAACTTATACACAAAAATTATAAATAATTAAAAATTTGAAATTGGAGACGAATTTTGAATATTATACGTAAATAACTTATGTATTTATAGTTGCACACAATGTACATACATATAATATTGTTGAATTAAAAATTTTTAAGACCTCACATAAATTAATCAAATATTTATTTTAAAAATGTTATTAAAAATACCACAGTATTTAATAAAAAAGATAATATATGTTAAGCATTACTCTGCATTACAATCCTCTGGAACTGCCTGCGGACTCAACTTTAAGACGGATCAACATAAACACTTGATACAAGTGAACTCTAAACTGTTACATTGCACAGCGGGAATTTCTTGAAAAATTGCTTCCATTCATATTTGGCGGACAGTAGAGATTGAAGAAGAAAATTATAATTTCATATTACAACTGTTGCAATTCCATTGTAAATCGAAATAACTGTGAAGGAGCTGCACGTCGACAATGACTGACCACCACAATATCATCGAGTAGATTATCCAGACATAAATGTGTCTTTTCATGCATAAGCTGTGTCCCACGTCGCAACCAACGCTGTGTATGTGCTGAAGTGTGGCAATATTGTAGCACGACCATGAAATGAGTTGGCCGTAGAGCAGCAACCACATCTCTTGCTTCATCTACAGCTACAGCTTCAGTAAGATTGGTTGATACCACATTAAGACAGGCGCCAGTATTAGACTGCAGACGAAAGCTTTTGCGGTGCAAATACCAATGCGTAACATCACCATGATAGCAACTCGACATAAGTAGGTCTGCTTGTGTTCTTGAAGTTTGGTTAACTATCGCAGCAGATGGAGGATGGAAAATCTGTAGGCAACGTTCGGCAATGCTTAAAGTGCCGAAAGCAATAAAATCGTCATTTGGTAGCCTAAAAGATTAAAAATGAGTACACTTAAAAATTGATAAGAAAACAGTAAGGTTATTAAAGTAAGGTTGCCGCGGTAAAATACAAAACTTACTTTAAATCTGTGTAAACATTTTTCAGATACCATGAAAAGGGACGGCATTTTAACTTTCTTTTGAGTTCTGTCAAAGTTTGCTGTGAAAAATTTGTCGAAATATTCAGCGCTGACGGCTTCAGAGCATAAAAGAAATATTTATAGGCGTCCAGCCAAGATTCTGCGATGATTTTCGAATTCCTAAAAGTGCCAATTGGAATGTTGAATTAAGTTAAAAGCTTTGAATATATAAACTTAATATAATAAATGTTTATGTTTGCAATATAAATACTTATAGCTTACACACATATGGTTAAAATATATATGATGAAATCCGAAATTCTGTAGAGGTGTCGGTGTTTGCCAAACTAATGACTCAAGGTATTAGATGAGAAAGATAAATTAGCCTAAATATGCATTTAGCAGTGATTATGTTAACATAAATTACATTCTTTTATATATATATAGTTTAATTTATTCAAATTTTTAAATGAAATCTCAATGACCTCAGTTAGATACAGCAACTTTATAATACGAAATTAAAATAAAATATTTTCGTCTCGAAACTCCTACAACGACTATAGACCTATACAACCGACGATTGAATTGTATTGTTTACATCCTTGATTCAATAAAATTAATGATTATTTTTTGAATAATGGCTTATACCAACAACTATCGATCTGCACTGCTGACTACCTATCTCCGGCAACATCTCTCTCACTAATAAACATTAAGTATTTCTACTACACATGTATAAGCACAAGGTGTTATCGACTTAATCAGCATATACCATATATGAAAAATCAATCATGCTTTGGCCAAAAAAACGAATAAACCGTATTTTATGATTGGATTCATTTTCAACAATTACTGAGATACAATAAGTCTAAGAGATCTCTACCCAAAATAACATCCAATGAAGAAACCATCAATATCTCCAATAGTGGATTATCTAATACAACTATTTATTTCATTAAATATGATTTGGTATCAAATCTGTTACATTGTTGAACTTAATTGTACTCAGAAGTGGATTCACACCTTTGACTTACTTGGAAAATTTTTAAACATTTTTGCCGAAAATATCGATTTTCAGATATTGCTGTCTAAATAATCTTTTTTTAATGTATTGGTGGTTTTTAAAATTTTTTTTTTTAAAGTATTTTAAACATCTAAATCTCAATAATATTGAAAACACCCCTTCTCCAATAAGTTGAATATACCTTACATATATAATATACATATAATAATACACACATAATGTTATTAGGTATGGTAGATCAGCTTTACCTTAAATATGTCATTCGACCATCATCGCCGTTAGTAAAACTAAAGGCATGCTGTTTGCGAAAAATGTGACCCACACGACTACAGGGCACGATCTCAATTTCCCCTCCGCAAAGCCATAATTTGATAGCGAATTCTATTGATTCACCACCCCAAATCTGTAAATAATAAAAAGTTCTTACTACCAATTTTATAATGTTATAATATATTTTATCAAAAAAAGAAATATAGAATTTTGGACATTTTATTGATTCTAGAAAACACGTATGTAGATTAAAGAATGTTAAGAGGTATCACTTTCCATTGAAAGTAAAAGTGAAAGTGTTTATTGATTTCACTCGCTACACAATATCTCCAGTCAAAAAATAGGCAAAATACTCCATAGCATATATTAGGAGGTATGTGTAATAAAATGTACACTTACTGAATAATAATACCAACCTACCTACATGTGCATATAATTTGTTTCATATATATATCACATATAAACTGTTTGAGGTTATTAAATTAAACAACTACTATTTTCTAAAAGTATAAGTAACAGTGCACATAAATATGAATATATATTCCATTTTAGAGATTATCTAACTTCTCTCTCTCTATTATGTCCATTTCAATTCCGGTTAACAACTTTGGAATCATATAAGAATAACCACACCACCAATGAAGTTAAAAAAAAAATTGTTTAATCTGTGCTTTGTTGGGCTTATGCTGTAAATATTGATAATGGCTAGCAGCGTGTTATCACTATTACATCTCAAATAACTCATGTCCATCAACTAGTATCTGATATTCACAAAAAGTAACATGCAGTATCGGACAGTATAAATAACAATATTTGCAGAGCGTTTACATACATACTTCCAGAAGTGAGTTGAAAGCATTCAATTTAAAAAACCAATTTCGAGATATCATAAAAATTCCACCAGAAAATACAGGACTTCTGTGAATGAAACAAAAAAAACATTATATAAAGTAAAACTTAAGGCTTTAGTGTGTTGGGCAAATACCAACAACAATGAAAATATAAGCAAATGGTAGGAAAATAAAAAAAAAGAATATTGAAAACGAAGCTGAAAATGAAAATGGTAAATCTGTTAAGTGAACTGCGGTCCATGAAATGGAAAAATATTTACAAAAATACGAAAACGATTTTCTTTTCCATTATTTTTTCGTTTATTTTAATAAAAGCTACAGTTGATGTGTATAAAGTGAGGGATATGGAAGTTGGAAAGGAAAAAAATTAAAAAGGCAGCAAGAACTAACAACAAAAATTAAAAAAACAATACAAAAAGCAATGAATTTCGAATGAATTTCGAATAAAAAATCCAAAGAAACAGCATTCAAATGTGAAGCTGCGTCCAATTTTGGTAATTCAATGTGGCTTATGCCAAAGGGGCACACATTTGATAAACTACAATGAAGTGCAACAGCATATTATGAAATCCCTGACCCCATCAGTGACCCTACTTTTTATGTGCGATATATTGACATATTTTGAAAGTTCATCCTATTAGTATTTCAGTGAATATCAGCGAGTAATTAGGAATTAAAATGACAAACTGGCAATGTCATGAGTACTCGTAATGAAAAAACTAAAAAAATTTTGAACGTAAAGCACTGGCATGGATAAAAATAAGTTTTGAGTTTTGAGTATAGCATAAAAAAAACAAATCAAACACTATTAGTGCTTCGCTCAATTAATTAATCAATTGTATTAATTAATTAATTAATTAATTAGTATATAAAACAAATCAAGTCCAGTTAGCTCTTCGCTGCGTCTCGAGGCATAATAGAAACAATTGTAATAAATTTTCAGATAACGCTCACATGAACCAGTTCAGCCATGCAATTTTGTTCCAACGCTGCAAGACTATTTTGATTGTGTGACATTGCTATTCGAACCCCCAGTCTAAAAGTCTTTCACTCATAAGACGTAGCTATATGACATAGTTAACTGATTTTAGCAGACAGAATATGTTAACTAATAATACCATTCCGACAAGATTGCTCGATCTGAGTTGAAAGAGTGTTAATCTTCCAATATTACATTTTATGCCCTTACTATCATAAACAAAACACCATGACAGGAACCATGACTTTTTTAACGAGAATAATTTTGGGTTATTTTATTGTTAAATTTGGATATTTACTTGACTCCCTTAAACACCGTTCATTGCATATACCTTGAATTCTAGCACAACCACTCAACGGTTTTATGACTTCAATACATACCTACAATATATATCTATTTGCCTTCATCTCTAACTCAAATTATCTAATGTTTTTCAACATTTCCTTCAACTACCTTCAAAATATAGTTTATAAAAAAGTTTCAGCAGTTCTTGAGAATACGTCGATATTTCAAAATCGATGTCTTATTTTGATGTGAAGCATCAGGCATTATATATATATTAATGAATTGGTATACATATACACACAGTGGTGTAAAAAGTCATGTTTTAAAGAGGGCCGGTCGATATAACAGAAAATATATGTTGGCGGTGTTTTTGTAGTTTATAAACTGTAGATTATGTTGTCAACTGAATGAAGTTGAAGATCTATCTACGCCAGTCTGAACATTCAATTATAATATTTTAAAACTTTTATTAAAATTAAATACGTACATATTTATGAATTGTGTATGGTATTGGATATGGCAAAAATGTTTTTATAGCATTTTTTTGTTTTTATTTATTTTAAGTATTTTTCTTTATAAATAATATATTTTGTTACTGTTTACTCGATGACCTTGTCAATTATTTCTACTTATTTGATATACCTTCACCCAAACGTTACTGTATGAAATCTCAAGCATATTCAAGTAAAACAAAAACTATCTTACCTGAAAGCTTCTTTATCATTTTGTTCTATATTTTGACGCTGCACCCAATGAAAATGTAAATTCCAATCGAAACCACCCATTAGATTCTTTGAACTTGCACGATAATCCAAAGTCTCAGTGTCGATGATATCTAGCACAGGACTAACAGCTACCGTGTTGACATTACGTGCACTTCTACCAACAGCAGCGTGAGCAATACGTTCCAACATGGGCTCCAACCAGCCAACATTAACTTCACAATGACTGTCGAGAAATAGCAAATAATCGCCGGTAGCAAGTCGAGCACCAAGATTACGTGATTCAATCAAGCCCAAACGTCGTGGATTGCGTTGCATTTTAATTAAACCTATGTTAACAGGCCAAATTAAGGCATCAGTGTTGGAAAGCGTTTTATTATGTGCGAATGGTGGGAAATTGAGTTGGCTTAGCACTGGCAAAATTGTATCTTTCGAGAATATTGAGAAGAAGGAGAAAATTATGAAAATGATTTATTAAGGCAGCTGTGGCATACATTAAAAATCCTACCATCATCACTGTAGTCATCGATTAAAATAATTTCGTGCAAATATTTCGCAGGGGTACGTTTGTGCACAGACATAATCGTTCTGATAAGCGCTGAGCGCGCCTCATTGTGATACGTAATTACAATCGAAACTTTTGACCTTGCCGCTGGTGGCAATCGGTAGGTGTGAGCAGCACAACTATAATTACATTTATCCCTCTTTCATGTACTATTGTACAACTATTGGCATACTTACCGCTCGTCACGTGTGTCCGGTAACGCGCGTAAGCTGCCAATCTTATCACTAATTGCATTGTTATAAAAATAGTATTCATAGGATTGTGCGGGTGTTTTGCTGATAAACTCTTTAAGCTCTATGACATCTGCGACTCTAATACGTTCCACGCCTGTAGGTGAGTCCAACTATAAACAAAATGTTTTACGACTTGAGAGATAATAAGTTTATATTAAGTTTTTGTGAGAGAATTCATACATGCGAAATGATAAAGTCACGGCTCAACAAATTGTATTCGTATATCTTTAAAATGAAAAACAAACATAGCAACGAAAAAAAACTTAACACCAAATATCTTCTACGGTTTGATTTATACATAACTCTTAACTGGGATTTGAGTTGAAAACATACGAGTCTGACTATCGGCGCGTTACCTACCGTACGTTAAAATGGCAAAAAAATAACTAATTTTGCGCTCATAAAATCGTTATAAATTTCTATAACAAATTTTTGATCTATTTTTAATTTCTAACGTTTATTTAAGGTTGCCATGAAAAATAACAAATAAATGCAAATAAATAAATATTTAAACTTGGCACTTTGATTATGTCGTCACGCCTGCCGTAGATTGTTGTGTAATATTGTGGTATTACTTTTTGCCAAAGATAAGATACGTCTGCGGTGAGCTCGTAAATTAAATTGTCAGATAAATTAACATTTTTGTCATTTTCTCACAACAATGAAGTGCTAATTACTTCACTAATTTGTACTGAAACAAATTGAAAGCTCGTTTTTTACCAAAAAGCAATTTTTTCCCTATTAATTTCAAATGACATTCTTAGCACAAATATTTCATAGAGATAAAAAAATGTGAAAGAAATTAAAATATCAGTTTAATATTTGCACGTGACAAAATACCTTTTATTGCAGGCTTTCACAACTATCAAGTAATTAATATAACAATTTCATAAATATTATTTTAAAAAATTTAATGCAGTATAATTTAAAATTGATAAGCCAGTCATGTATAACATTTAATATTACCTTCTTTCAAAGACCACTGATGATGAGCATTTGGCAATATCCGAAACAGCTGTAATATCAAAAAAAAAAAATTCATTTGATTTAGAATTTTATTAGACATATATACTTTCTTTTCTATTCAAAATGAATTTCTTGCTAAAGAACATTAAATTTTTATCCAGATATTATTGGAAACTACGCTTTAAAAGATCTTTGTTTTTCCTTGCTACAGAAAATATGTTCAGAGACCGTTCTGGTGTAGTTATCCACGTTCTCAGTTTTTATATCATTTTCGACGCCATCAGTCCGTAATCTAATTTTTTCAACGTAGAAAATATCTTACCTATGTAAGATATTATATTATTATATATATATATATTATTATATAGATATATATTATTGTTAGGGGATGTGGCACTGCGGCCGTTGGATCTATAGTGCCACCTTTTGGGTTCAGAATAGTTCTCTAAGCCCTGTTGCATTAATAAAAAATAGTATAGAACCTATTTTACAGAGTTTTATTGCCTCTTCCGTAAGAATATACATTACTTGGAGCCTATTTCGTATGTGCATTAGCGCAGGAGGTTCTAATAACACATGTGTGGTCAATTCCTCATTCTCATCACAGAATCTACAATTTACATACGTAATTAAATCCAATCTTGTAAGACGGTATTTCAGTTTACAGTGCCTGGTTAGGATTCCTGTGATGATTCTATATTTTTCTTTTTATAGGTTCATACAGTCATACAGTGTTTTGGATTGTTTTAATCTTAGTATATTATTATCCTAGTAATCGTTTTTATTATGGTTTTCCTTTATTTTCATGAGAGAAAGGAGCGTACTATTTCAACTTCCTTTCTATATTGAATTCTTTAATTGAAGCTCGGAAACTGTCTTCTGCTTTTAACATAATTTGAGTTAATAGCAATAGAGAGTACTCCTACTATTCTTGTGTAAATGAACCTGATGTATAAAAAGTGTGATCAAGATATTATTTTACAATAAAAGTTGCGACTAAAGAGAAACATTTCAATAACTCTTTCCCTCATCTCCTTTCCCATAAATATGTGAGAAAAAAATAAAATAAGATTTGCCTGATTGTTATATTTAACGTTTTACCGCATTCCCCCTTCTCTGACCTCATTTTGCCCACCTTTCTGGCTAACCACTTATATTAAATGATACAGTATTTTTCTACTGCTTAAAATGTTGTCAAAAAATTCAGAGCATAAGAATATTTTGGTTTGGTAAATAGCGGCAATAATCCATAATCTGCCATTATATTTGCAAAGAGTTTTAATACAAATTTTTAAGCAAAACTCTTTAAAGATTCATTAATCATAATATTAAAATATTTCTAATAATTTTAAACCAAAATGGCACTCAATGAGCCTTAACTTTATTGATATATCTACTCTGTACACACATAAATAACAAAGATTCCATAATGCAACCAAACATTACAGCCAAATACATCACTTTTACGTACTTAGAATATATCAATAAGGTATGAAAATTATTAATATCAGATGCTTTGACACATTCCCCGAAAAGTCCAACATAAACAACTAAACAGTTTCCCTTCGTTCATATGTGTTTGGGACATAAATTTTCATGAACTAACAAAATAATTTCACACATCATTAACACCTGAAAGAGTTAAGGGACAAACATAAAAAAAAAATACATCTCAATCTCGACATATCTCGTTTATATAAAAATATCAGCTTAAGCCAATCTCAATAGATTTTCACAGATTTTCAGTTTCACTTATGCACAAACTCAATGGCAGTCAATTTCATCGTCAACGGTTAATAGCACAAATGAGGAGGGCATGTTACTGGCAAAGGATTTGAGATATTGAACTGTTGTACATTTTCCGAGAGAGACGGCATATGAAGACAGTGTGCATATTGTGCGCTACAAATGATCCATGAAATTTGTTTAAATTAAGCTCTCTTTGTTACTTATGTGTATCTGCATCTGCAATCTTCATAAGCAGAACAGTCTCTACTTGTGCTGAAGCAATCATTAACATTTGATTACATGCATGAGGTATGCGATTTTGGATAATCCTGAATTTGCATAGAAATGAAAATGTAAAATAAAATTTTCCGGCCAACTTAACCAATGTATCTTGCATGTCTGTATTCTATTTGTTTTGCATATGCACTCAAATATTAAATTGTTATTTCCTTTCAGAAAGAAAACAAAAATATAATTTCACAGACGACCATAAGTCTATGAAATGCATAAGGCTTGAAGAAGGATGCTGCAGTTTTATCAGTTCTCAAAGACTTTGCATAAATCAGAGCTATTTGCAATATTGTCCACAATTTAATAAATAATTAATTGATTTTATTTACTCTTGATGTTATCAATTGACAAATAGACAAAACTTAAAATAGACTTTTTCATTCATAAAGATTTATTAGGTTTTACAATTCAAATTGAAATTGTAGAATTTTATATGTTTTTACTTCAAAATGCAATTAAAATCCAAATAAAATTGAAAATGTAAAGAAATGTGAAAATCAATAGATTTATTTGTTTTTCTATTTTGCAGTAACTTAAAATAGGATAAATATGAGAAACATTGTATCACGAGTCCAAAAATGGAACAGAATCACAAATCAATTAACTGTCACTATTAATATACGTTTTAACTTAAGTGACACTTTAAGTCTGACAGAAACTGTTGAATATATATTTTCCAAGATCGATAAGATATAATTTTGAAACCAGTACTATGTTATGGTATTATTATTAAAGCTTTGACGTGAAATCGCCCAGCAGTCGGTACTGCGACCAGAAGAGTCCTATTGTAGAAATTTCACTATTGATTATACAAAGCCTTTTAAAGCTTTGTGAAGAAAGTCCACAACTACTGCCGTATACCTTCTGCTCAAAAAGTATCCGGATTTTGTTGTTTGTTAATTACTCCTTAAGTAATAGACCTTTTTCAAAAGTTTTTTTTTGACATATGGTACATATTTGAGCGCCATCTGTCAATTGCTTTGTTTACAGCAGCTGTTAATGTGAGACTACCTAAAGTGCATTTAGTGATTTTTACTATGGAAAATTCTTGTTGCACGCGATTTTTTGACCAAACACGGCACCACTGTCATCGCTCAGACATAATATTCGCCAGATCTGGCGCCGTGCGACTTTTTCCTGTTCCCGAAATTCAAATTGCCTCTTCGTTGTAAGCGTTTTGAGTCGATGGAATCGGTAAAAGAGAATTCGCTGAAGGAACTAAAAGCCATACCTGCACGGGCCTATGAAAAGTGTATGGAAGATTGGGTTAATATGTTGGCATATGTGTATCGCTTCAAAAGAAGCATATTTTGAAGGAGATAAAATAAATTTGAAATAAAATTTAAATTGTGCGTTTTATTTACAAAATCCGGGTACTTTTTGAGCAGAAGGTAGTATCATAACTTTTGTACTAAGTTTTCACAATTTGAATACATTTAGGGATTGCTAAACGATCCATACTATGATGTGGTGATCCGTAAAAAAAAGGTAATGGCTTGTGCGACAGTTTTTTGTGACATACGACGTATATGTCACATTAGAGTCCCACATTGGAGTAGTTATAGGACGCATAGGTAGTTATGTTTATTCTAAGTATACCAAATATCTTCGCTGCTTCTTTCAAAATGTGAGTTTGTTTTTAAAATTAAATTCGTAATTTTCTTACAAAAAGATAGTGTACCTCACAAACAATTATTGCATGTTACCTTGTGAACTAAACTTCAGCTATTTAGTCAATTTTAAAAAGGAAACTGGGAGGGAGATAATGATCACAAATAATTTTTAAATGAATCTACAATATTTATACCTTCAATTGCCAGTATATAGAAATATGTATAATATCATGCAAATGTAAAAAATAAATAAGATACTAACATAAGATACTATTTGAAGAACAGCAGTTGATGCCATTGTCATTATACTTTGGTGCTATAGCTCATGGCGAGCTTTAGCCTGCATAATAATTTATACCATATTCACGTAGGTATTTTATTCGTAAAGGTTCTCCGATTTTTATTGTCCAACATAGCCAAGTCTACATCGACATGTTACATCGAGACAACGTATAGGTTATCATACATTTTTTAAATTCTATGAATGTGCATTCATAATTTTTGAATTGTTCCATAATTTTTTCGCAGGATGCTTTTTGTTCCTTCTTATGAAATAGTAGAATTACTTCAATTTATCTTGTATCTTTTTAAAGGCATATTTTTACAATATTCTATATTCAAATATTCCCTTTCATCCTAAACAAGTTTTGAATAGAACCTTCAGTGTTGACAAGCCATAAAGAGGAAAGCAAAGCAAACAGAAAAAAATCATAAATAAATTTATATGCAAAATGCAAGTAAATTTCATAACCAATTCAATTCAATTTATGAAATAAGTACACTCACCAAAGATACAATTCCAAAATTGCATACAAAAGTGCCGTTCGTTTAGAAGCAGAAATTTGAAAAGGAAGAAAGTGCATCAAAAATAAAGGAGTCGAATATAAAGTATCTAGTACATGTGCCACATCTACATCTGCGCAGGCACTGTGCAGAGGTCACTAAAAGCACTAGAGGAGGAGGAAAGAAACAAAGGAATTTGAATAACATTGCAATTTGAATTTTGTAAAATTTCCATGTTTTGTATTCTAAAAATTGGTGCCGTAAGGAAGATTTTAATGTGGCTAAATTGATGGGAATGCTATTGGGCACTGGGTGTATGCCGCCTTAGTTATATATTATATATGCTAGATCAAATCTAGTGGGTTGTGGTTGAATTTAAATAATAAAATATATAAAAGGATATAACCCAATTTGTCAAGAGCACTTAAAAAAAATTCAACTTAATCATTCAACCACCGAAAAGATACAAAATACAATGAAAAATTAAAAAATAGTTTCGTTTCATTTAAGGTCAGCATATCTGTAACAGCTTGTACTTTCCAAAAAATGTGAGCTTTTGTGGTCATTGTTGGCAATTGGAAAAAAGTAGAAAAGGACACGAGAATCCTGCTGATTGCGCTATTAAAAAGTGGAACATATTTTTAATTAAAAGTATTTGTGACAAACTTTAGGATGCTGCTGTTTGCGTGGACTTCTGTTTCAGTGTTTAAACCAAAATTTAATACTTTTGGATAGAAAATAAATTATTTAAAACATTAATAAGGTCAAGTACAAGTTTAAATACTTAATTATAGATACAGTTTTGTCACACTTTATAGTTATATATGGAGTATATATAGTACGTAACACTTAATATTAATATGATGTCGAATTTTTAGTATTACTATTGACAAATTTAGTGATCGATAAAACAGATAACTAACAGATTGATTAATAATATGAAGTTACTCATCATCACTGACATTGAAAGCTCTGTCCTCTCATGACCGTTACACAAATCTCGATTGCGAGAACGTGTTATGTATTGTAATTAAGCGCTTTTGAGTTCCAAATATCTTATCTACGGCACATTTTTATCACGATTACAAAAAAAAAACTAGTTCCCATAAAATAATATATAATAATCAGTCTTTAGTCTAACGAATGGTGTCTAATGATTTCTAGTTACCTTCTACGATTTGGCATATCTTAATTGCGGTACTATTCAGAACCCTTTCCTATAGAGAAAACTATCTAGTAATGTGAACGATGTAATTTTGAGATATGTAATAAATGTTTTACTTTAACATCGATAGCATAACATACGACTACCCTACCAATTTTCAGCGGCAACAGGCATTTAAACCAGTTGTGTGGTACGTATAACGAAAAGTGGTTATATAAATGTACATAACGATGAAGGAAGTTAATAGTTCTTGAATTGACGCTTTAAAAATAATTTTCAATTCTAAAAACTAGATCAATATCAAAATTCAAGTCAATGTCAATTACATTCTGGGATTAACGAGGTATTATGTACTTAATATTCGCCAGGGAAGAAAAGGAGTCTCTTAATGCATATTATAGAAGCTTTTTGCAGCAAATATCTCAATTTGATATTTATTTACAAGTATCTTGTTCTTCTTTAGAAACATATAGTCACAAATGTTGGAAATTTTAACACATTCGTATAAAGAATATATAAAACTAGTCTTATTGGATAACTTACATATAGGATAATATTTGATTATTGCAGTTACTTCATATCATGTATTTGTATCTTCTAGTTTTATTGATAAAAATCATCTAGTGTCTAAAAAAAATCCTTCCTTCCTTAGTTGATGAGAATCTGCTATGTCTATGACTATTAGGATTTTTTGCTATTAAGTCGTAGCAGCATTTGTTATAATTATATAAATTTAAATTATAAAAAAATTTTTCAGAATTATGTTAGTATATTCCCCAGCTTTGTCTGATTTTAATCAATCATTCGATTATTCAATCGAAAACTTTTCCGTAAATGATATTTGCATATAAGAATAAGCAATTTTTTTTTTGATCAATCCTGTTCAAATATTAATGCAATTCATTAAAGTTTTTAATTTTGAAGCGTCCTTGCTGCAAAGGATAATCGCTGCTAAAAAGGAATATTTAGACATCTGCTCGTGCATAAAATTAAAGAATCAAAGTGAATCGAACTTTTTAATTCTGCCATTACTTTTCGTTAGTAGTCAGTTAAATAATTTTGTGTAATAAAATTTCAAAGAAACTAAAATAAAAAATATCTGAACTTAATTTCGCCATTATTGAAGCAGCAAAGAGCCTGCAAACTTACAAAAAATTGATACTCTAAAAAATATCTATAAACTTTTGCTTTTACACAAAACAAAAAAAAATTTAAACTTTAAGCCCAAATAAGGAAAAAAGGAAAACTAAAGACAAAAAAACTAAGGACGAAACTAGAGAACTTTGGCTTTGGCTGCGCAAATGCAGCTGGTTTTGTGTTGGATAAGATAACTGAATTTGTGCGCTGCTCTATGTGCCGCTTTCGGCTATCATTTTCCACTAAAACTGGTGGCTACATTCCCGCCCGTACTCCCCGGCAATTGTCCCGCATAACAACTTTTCGCTCAACTTCTGCATGGATTTTGTGTGTTTGGTGATTTCTTTTGTTGTTTTTGTTATTCACGGAAAGCGTTCGATGCAAAACTCTATTATTGCCCGTTTTTATATCTATAGTTTTTGTTGGACTTTTTTCTTCTTGGCAAGTTTTTCGTTTGGTTGAAAAACAATTAACTTTTTCCATAAATTTCGCTAAGAAACATTTCCGCTAAGGCTAGCGCAATATGCCAATACTCGGTATGCCACTGACAGTTCATGGGGGTGTTCGAGGATATGCAAGGATGTGTGAGGATGTGCGCTCTTGACTGCATATACTCGATATAGCACACATTTAATGTATTGAATGGTTTCGAATTGGCATAATGGATTTTTCAAATGAATTTATTGCTTGTTGCAGTTTCGTATTTGAACCACTTTCATTGTTTTCATGTGGTTACGAGCTGGGGTTTTAACTCGAGTGAAACAAATTAGCTTTCTAGTATCTAGCAAATTAAATAAATTTTCTTAAACAACCAAGAGAAGTATCAGAAAAAGACAGGAGCTTGGAATGCAGTTGACTTTTATGCTTTGATGTAGTTTTTTTTAAAGAACGAAGTTATTATAGCAAAAAATAAGTGAAAGTGCTATATATAAAAAAGTATTATTAACCCAAGACTAAGTAAAAATCAAGTATTAAAATTAAGATTTTAGTATAATCATCAACATGAACAAAATTTAATCACGAGTATGATCAAAAATTATTTTTAATATTTATTGAAGATGATTACTTCAATTTCGGATCAATCTCAGAAATTGAGTCACTTCAACTGGGTGTAATGAGATGAAAAGGATTTACATACTCCAAAATATGAATTTTTATAAACACATCAGAACTTATTAACATATTGCCCTGCAAGAGTTCAGGAACTATTCCAAAACATATAAACTCATTTTATTTCGGAATATGGCAAGGTAACAGAATTATTTGTGGAGTAATTCTTATACATCTTTATGTACTAGCAATACCCCTAAATCAAATGCTAAATTTAAAGTATACTTACACATTTTTATTGCAGTTTGATGTCTTAAGGTATATACCATATGAATAAAAAAGGATCTTAAGCTGGCAGTGAAG